TCCACATGTACACAGTATGCAGAACCACAGCGCAACCTGTGCGAGAAAGGGTTGGTTCAGAAATGCAGGTGTTTTGCGTCACTAGAAACATGAATACATACAGAACGCCTGGCTAAGAAATGAAGTGTGCCCAGATGAGTGACCAGCTTTTTTGGTGCATTTCTTATTTGCTGGGTGGATTCTGATCCGAGCCTCTGCGCACCGCAAGAATCTGATATGCTCGATCGCGATGCTGCATTTCTCATTTCGGGTGCTCTCAAGCATCCGATGAATTCCCCTAGGATCCCGGAAATTAGACGCGGGCTGCTGCTACGTTTCTTGTTGTGGTGGTCGCCATGCCTCCGAATACACCCAATAACAAGGTAACGCCGCATGAAACGACCCGCGCGATAACAGGGCGCTTTGTTTAGCAAAGTAGCAGTTGTACGGAGGTAAAACGATGATTTCTGAATGATCAGTTCTTGTTTTGGGAGGCATCGTTGCACAACCTCCAGAGTTTTCGGGACTTGCTTTCGTCATTGTTTGATCTTTAAAACTAGTGGTTTATGTGTTTTTGACTCGGCGAGAGCACGGTTTTGCATTTGATGGCTTCATTATCCGGCATCATGTCTTTACAGTTTTCCCGTGGGTTTGTGGGGCTTCGGTGTTGCCATGCCTTGGAAGTCTTTGGGGGGGCGTCAGCGCAAAATGGCAGGGTTACCGAGCTAACAGGATGATTTCTGCTTTATCAGTTCTTGCTTTGGGAGACAGCCTTGGGCCACCTTTACAGTTTTCTTAAGCTTTCAACTTGAAGGTTTTGGGGCTTGCACTGCTTCGCCAGAGACTTGGATGCTGGTTTTAAGCTTCTAGATCGAGGGTTTTGGGCTCGCACGCTTGGGATCTTTGTTTGGAGCTTGAGGGCTTGGGCTCCGACGCTTTGTAATAGTATACGATGACAGGATATAGTATAATGGAATGGTTAGGCAACGGTTAGGGTTGGGAGGGTTCAAGAGCCCTTGACCCCGTGCTTTCACTGTGGCTTCATTTGGGATGCCTTAAGCCTTGCCCAAAGCCGACACGCAGGCATCTTGGTCTGCACAACGCAAACTAACTAGAAAGTATATTTTTTGTAAGACCATGCAGTACAGGTGCAGCAGCGGCAGCATAGCAATAGTGGTTCGTGCAGCAGAACTAGAAGTACGACTAGTAGCACTGCTACTCCTCAACTGCTCGGTAATGGACGTCGTCAGACAGGACTATACTAGCCCCCACCCCCGCACTCCCACAGACCCCAGAAGCAGACATAAACAAGCAAAAACAAGCATAACCCGCGGGGCAATTGGTAGTGCGTTAGCGAAAACAAAGGCCTAAGCTTACTGAAATGCGTAGTAACTGTTACCTAGCCTTCTGCAGGCTCGAGCCCCGGTTAAGCAAGGAAGGCGGGTGCCAGGAGATCTGGAAACATAAAACTAAATTCAGGCTAAGAAACGAAGCGGACCCCATGCTAGGAAAGCGTCATGCTTCCTACACCCTGAACCCTAAACCCTAAACCGTAGATGCACATGTGGAATGAGGCTGATAGCGAAATATATATATATATATATATATATGTATATATATATATATATATATATAGAAACTGGATTGATTGTATACACCTATGTTACCTATGTTGTATATACACACACATGCATCTGGATGTATGTATTGGTACTACCATGTGCGTAGGTAGATGATATTCTCCTCCACCCTGGCGCTTGCTTACTCAAGGTCCAGGCTCCCCCATGGTGGCCGGCGTCGTGTATGCCAGGAACACCTATTTCATTGTCATGGTGTCAGTGTCTTCACTTATTTGCCTCTAGGAAACGTCTCTCGCAAAGGCCAGGAGACCCTCCAAATTATCGGTTTACCTGCTCCGGGTCATCGAAGAAGCCTTCCAAGGTTGCCTTGGACAGTCTCGAACCCAGAAGCAATAGAACAAAGTGCTGGAGATTGCTTTGCTCTCCACCGGGGCCTGATAGCGCTCCATTCGCAAGCTGCAAAGCCAAGCAGCCAGAGGCCCTGACGAGGTCAAAGCGGAGAGTCCAACACGGTTTGCTGCTCCTTGCGGCCTTGAGCCTTCGTCTCCTCGCTCGGCGGAGCCGTCAAGGGACCTTCGTCAGAGCGAGTCTACACCTTCCCTGACCAGTGTCACAGCCGCCGCCTCTGTCCCTGGAGGTCCGACGCGGACTCGCTTCTCTTTCCGCCGCTCGCAGGCGCGACCTGCAGCACCGCGGCCGGACGGGGGACGGCTCCGGGGCTCCGGCGGGGCTCCGGCCTCGGCGGCCGCTCGGGCCCGGGCCCCGGCTCGGGCTCGGGCCGACTCGGCTTCAGCCATTTGCGGCCCAGCGGGCCCTGGCCATCCACATCCTGGCAAGTCACCGCAGGCCGAGGCAAGCCGATCGGGCTCTCTGCCCGACGTCGTGCCCGGGATGTGTTTCGGGGGTTTCTGGCATTCCGGTCTGAGTCTAGGCGCTCTTGGCAGACTTCAAGTATGCCAACGCCCTGACATTTGCTAGCCCAGCCTCGAACCCGCTTCAAGGGCAAGGGCCCAGTTTGCCAGCAAATGTGACGGAAAATCACAAGTTTACATTCTATACAGCTGGCACTTTGTATCAGGTCGTCTGGTGACACAGTATGCCACGTGTACGTGGACCTTCCTCTTGTAAAGAACCAAAGCCTTCTTTGCTGCCTTATCGAGGGGAGCTCACTGTAGTGGAAAGAGCAGCAGACGACATGACATCGGGGAGGGCTTTCTACCCCGTTCGTACTAGCTGCGAGCCCGGATCGAAGCATGATATCCCGTTAAACTACAAAGTGTCCATGTGCTGACTAGTGACTAGTGTTGAATCTTGCTTCAAAGCCGCATGGCCCGCTGTTCACAAAGAATTCCCCACCTCGCCCTGAGGCGGAGTGGTCAAGGGAGGATTCAGGTCTGTCCTTCCAGCGCAGCCTTTGTGGCCGAAGGACATCCTGACGTCCCAGTCGTCAAAACTCGCACGGACCACCATTTTGTGTGGCGTCCGGGAAAACCACCTGATTTTTGGGCCCTCGAACTGTGTTGGCAACCTGGGCCCCAAAAGGAGGCAGCTAAGTGTCAAGCGCGCTGCTCGACGAAGACTTCCAAACAGCTGGTAGGACATGACAGTGCATGCTACAAGTAGCTGCTAGCTGCGATGAACCGCTTACATTGACCTCTGAAACCCGTCATTCGGGACTTTGCCATGTCGGTTCGGCTGACTTGTGCACGCCGACAGCCATCTTGGCTACGTCGGGAGTGGTCCTTTTGCCGGGAGGACCAGACCCAGGAGCCCGTGCCTCAGTGCTACTTGTCAAGTCCGCAACTTTGCTTTTAGCACGCACGCACACACACTTAGACATCCATCGCGCAGCCACTAATCAATCTGGTTATCAAGCACCGCTTGATGTATCTCGAAAGCATGAAGCTTTCAGGGGGTCCGGTACCTGTCTGGCCTCAAGGCTCATCTTCACTTGATCGCTGACTTTTTGACTGTACAAGGCAAGCTCTCCCAAACATGCACATGAAGCTGCACTGCACTCCTACTCGCAATCAACGGTTGTGTGGTCACAAGCTGCACTAATGTGCCCATGCCGACCACTGCAGGTACGTTTACCTGTCTCAATATCACGGAGCTTCATTGGCAGAGGCCGTGAAATGAGACCCTCTGCCCCCTGCTATTTCCATCAATTCAGCGCGACTGTCCAGAGTGCTGCAAAAAACGGTTCCTCTTGGCAACAGAGGTCCACACACACAGTAAGCCACTAAGGCGAACGACCTAGGATCTGTGATCCAAACGAGGACGGTTTTCGTCCGAATACGGCTCAGCCCACTGAAAGGTCAATGGTACTGTATTGTTGACAGTACTGAGTTTGACGTAGTACGGCAAATGAGTCCCGCTTTGCGTGAGTTTAAACGCACGCTTGGGGAGGTGGAATCGTGAGTGATTCCACTCCAAACTAATGACCTCCTTGAGGTCGTCGATAATGGCCTCGGCCGGAATGTCGAAACATGCAACCGTGGCACCATGATGGCGGCCATCAGGAGGCAAATTTTCAATCCAAAATCCTCGGGTATTCCGCAGCGGAGGCAGATGTTTCGGTGTCCGAGGGAGAATAAGAGGATCATCATCTTTACCGCCATCAGGAGGGAGTGACGCTTGTGCTGCATCTCGTTTCATGGCGGAGAACACCACACGTACACTAGGTCACTGGTGCATGAGAGCAGAAAAACTGTACAGGCACTTGCTCACACTGCATGCAGGGCAAACATATGGGATTCAAGTCAAAAGGTCATGCCAAGAATCTCTGGCAATCTTTTCCAGCAAAGTGTCATGCGATCCTGTACATGTGTGGTGTCAGCATCACCATCAGAATCAAAGGTTTCTGTTGGGACACAGTGCGATATACCTAAAATGGCAAGCACAACGGAGGTTGGCTCTGACCAGCATTTTTGCACAAGCCTTAGACCGTGCTTCAGAACTTCGGTGAAACTGCATAGGATCCCCAAGCGTGATATCACTTGCTTCTGAGGGGACAGGCGAACACTCACGTTTGTCCTTCTTGGATTTCTTGGACTTCTGAGACTCATCTTTTGTTGACCGGTCCTTTTTCAGCCTTTTGGACTTCTTGGACTTCTTGGACTTTTTGGTCTTCTTGCCCTTGTTGGATGACTTCTTGACCCACGACGCCACTTCAGTGGGGGCGGAGTCTTTGGGAGGATCGAAAGCCGAAGACCAGGAACTGGCATCATCAGGAAGTTCATCATATGGTGACCCGTTGTCTTGACGGGAAGCCATGCCGGTGTGCCAAGAAATCAAGATGGAAATGGCTGGCAGCATCACATGAGTCAAAAGGAAAGCCGCCTTCAAAGAAGTACACAAACACATTGCATGCCAGACTCTTCTGCATATGCGTTCCGCATTGCAACAGTCTTTTTCCATGCATGAAAGACTCCATCAAGCCTAGGCCTCCCTCTGTACATCGGAAACCGGTAAAGCTCTGGTGCTGCGTACAGAATACTCCAAGCCAGGCCAGCTGACTCCCCAATCCTGCCCTTCCCCCGTTTCAAAAGTAATGGGCCTGGGGTTGTTGGGGGTGGACATCGGCAAAGAAATGGAGTGGGTGCTTGACAAAATCCAGATTTTGTCAATGCGTCCGGCGGCCTCCCGCACCGCCCAGCGCTTATCTCCTGAGAGGGAGTGCACTAGCGCGTGGAACTTGCATAAGTGTCCTTCATGTACAGTACTGGAGGATTTGGATTTGTGATGCGCAGATCCAAGATATCCTCCAACGACCACTCCAGCGGAATTCTTCGTGGAGTGGTGCAATTTCGACACGAAGTCTAATTTGCTCTCTTCATAATACACGTTTTGTGTGGCCTTGCCATAAAAGGAGCACACATGATCGTGCGGCGCAACATGTACAGCTTCAGCGCTAGAGCGAATAACTCTGCCCAGCGTGAGGATGCCGACCAGGCCTTCGGCTGTGGTCCCGTGTCCCCAAAGATAATAGCAGTTGGTCTGCTCTTCAGGTCCTGGCATATGTGCCACTGGAAACTCCCAAACATGCAACGCTTCCTGAGGCATGGCATACGCCTTGGCATCATGCTGAAAAATTGTTTTGTATGGTATCTTGCTGGCCAAAATGGACCGGGCAAGAGTGACAATCTCCCGTTGGCCAATGGGAATCACAGGCAGAAAGGGTCGATCGGCCTGGCCAAACCGGGTCAACAAAAATCTCAGCACTTCCTCGACATCCTCTTTGAGGATCTTGGAAACAGGCAGTGAACGTTGCCGAGTAAATGTAATGCGATCAGTAAATCGTCGCATATGAAAACGCGGGATAATAGGCCACGTATGCAAGCCTTCAGTCGTGAGAAAATTCTCATGATAATGCACAACAAAGAACATATACGCCAAGAGAGGGCTCATTCCTTCCTCGTAGAAATCCACAGCATTGCGGCCTTTGGCTCGAGCTGTGATTTGCTCTCGCAGTTGTTCGTAGCTGCTGCGATGAGTGGCTTGAAATAACTGCTCATGAGCAGGAGGAACTGGGCTCTTTGGAGCCGGGTGCTTAGGAGGCGTCTTGGGCGAAGTGTTCTTGTGAGCCTCCGATGAGGGAGCTGCCACGGAGGGCTCCTTGTTATTCGAAATCGGACCTGTATCCGGTTTGCTTTGTACATTGCTGGAAGTTCCAAAAGCTTCAGCAGCGTGATGCAATGCATCAGTGGCTGCGTGAGAGCGAGAAGCAGGAACTCGCACTCTGGGTGTTACCGGCCTTTGGCTCGGATTGCCAGCAGAAAAACTGGGTACCCATTGCCCAGGAGGTCGCTGCGGACTGTTGCTGGGCCCTTTGTTTTCACGAGGCCGGGAACGGATAATGTCCGGCTCAGTAGAACTGGGTCTAGGCCGGGGTGGCATGTTGTCAAAGCTGGCTGATCGAAAAGGCGGACGCACCGGAGGAGCTGCACTAGCAGACCTTGTTGGTGGTCGAACTGGAGGCTGATTGGGAGGTAGAACAGGTCGAACCGGGGCCGCGGGAGGTCCCTCAGGTTGACGTTCATGCCGATGACGTCGACGCCGTCGTCGTCTCGAACGACTGCGATCATGACGCTCACGGCTCGGATGAGTAGACCTAGTCGGCTCTCCCGGTGTGAGTTGAATCGGAAGAGGAGCTCGAGGTGGCGGATGTACCGAAACCGATCGAGCTCTACTTGCTTCATCCGGAGTCGAACGGATCGTAACAGGAGGCTGTGGTCCGCTTGAAGGCAACACCCCCGGGGGTCATCCGTAGAAGTGAAAATGATATTGTTGGGCCATGGCTCGGGGTTGAAATGTTCCCTCGACAGGCCGATACACAGCTGAAAACCAATGCAGCTGTGGTATGGAATCGATAACACACGTGCACAAGTAGGAACAACAACATTGCTAAATGGCACCAAAACACTCAATCGAATGTGTCATTTGCTGACTTCATTGCAACGCATTCACAGGAAAACCTGCCTGTACAAACAATTGCTTGAGTCTGCGAAGCTGTCCCGGTATCGACTCGGGGGGCCAGGAATACTGGCGAATCAAAGATGCTCGAGAAAAATATCCCGAGGCTGCTAGCTGCCAAGATCCGGCACTGTTGGGTGAGCGGATCTGCCACGGTTGCTCCGGAAGATTAAAAGTTGCTGAGCGAGTCTTGGCACAAATCGTAAAGCCCAACCATTGATGGTCTGATACAGTTTCCAACTGAATCCCATCATAGAAGTTGGGATCACAAAATCTCCGGAGTTGGGACGACTGTAAAATTTGTTGAGGTCCCAGAATCAGTCTGTTATCAACGTAACGAAGAAACAAGAAAGAAGATTGGATGGCTGTTGGCAGAGATTGCAAAAAATGCCGCTCGGCCATGAGTACAGGGAGCCCGGAAAGGATCGGAGAGACTTGATTGCCTATACACGTCCCCTCCACTTGCTGGCGACACTTTCCAGCAGCAGTAAAAACGCCCGTGGCGAAGGATAGATCCACAATCCGTGGAATATCTGAAACCCAACACCTTTTCAGACTGGATTTGGTTCTTCCCCGTGGTTTGCCCGGGTGTCCCGTTTTGGACAACATGTCGATCGAAAGGATCGAGCAGCCAGAAATTTGGCAATATTCCTGGACAATCAAATGGACTGAATGCATAATGTCCTTTCGGGGAACTGCGTTGAAAAATCCCACAAGATCGTCGTTCCATTCGACGTCTTCTTCCTGGCTGGGCTTCGCCCAGTAAGCGTGAAGAGACCTCCATAGCTGTGGCATGCTCTGCATGCCGGGGCTGTCAGCAAACAGCGTCTTGACCATTAAGGTTAACGCTATGGAAGTCAGCTCTAACAGTTTGCTGCACAAAGAATTGGAATACGAAATAATGGTCCGTCCCTTGGCAAACTGTTTTTTCCGTTTCAGGAACACAGTGCCCTGGGGCAGCGGAGCCGCTTCTGTGAAAGCCCAGGCATATCTTCTGGACAGATCTCCAGAAACGCGTTTCAAAATGCGCTGTCGCCACTCTTCAGGCGTACCATCGAGAGTGCAAAACACTGAGGGATCGTTCCATGTGTTGCTGACTCCTCGAAGGAAGAAGCGAGGACAATAGCATACCACATGATTCGGATGATGATCTTCGTTGTACAGAACAAAATCAAAATGCAAAACAGACTTCACCTTCTGTACCAAAGCCCAGTGTAGTCTGTCGGATTGTTCCAGGGCTGCGACGTGTTGCTGCCACTGGTGATCGCAAAAAGATTGAAAAATCGGATGCAACGTCGCTGGTAGCTTGTGTCTCTTGAGCCACTGATCAAACAGAGCTCTGGACTTGGCCATCCAGTGATTGCGGCCTGGGAAAAAGGTGCTCGCGGTACTGGCCGATAAGATGCTCGTGCAGTCTGGCAGTAGCTTGGTCAGGTTCTCCAAACCTGTGGCTACATGGCCAGACACAAAGCAATGAGCAGGAAGTTTTCCTGCAAACTGATTACACGGACAGTGAACCGACTCCAACTTGAAGTCGTGGTCCCACATCGTTTCTTCCCAAGATCGGAAGTTATGGAGAAATTTCCTGATACTCTGGTGCGGAACTTCACGTAGGCTGTTCTTTGGAACATGAAAAGATGGAAAAAGATACTTGTAACGGAGGATGAGGTCTTTTAACCACTTCTCGCACTCCTTGGAAAACGAAGAAGACGCCGTTGGCAGGACTCCCAAAGATCGGGAGGTGCGTGGCCAGTGCATCTTTTTCCGAAATTTGACTACACCTTTGAGTAGTCCTTGCACCCTGTTGCGATGAGGGTTTTCAATGTTGCGACTGAGCTTGATGAGGGCATACACTTCCTCGTCAGCCGTCTTATTGGATCGGAGCAGTTTTGTTGTTTCAAAGGCTGCTCGGGTTCTTGATCCAAGCTTGAACAGAAGCCCCCAGGCTAGTTCCCGAGAATCTTGAATGATGAATTTCGAACTGCGACCAAACATGCGCTTTCGCAGTTTGCGCCAAAGTCGGAGGCCGAAGGTGCCATACAATGACGCTCGGCGTTTGGAAGAAATCCGAAAACCAAGAGCGGTCTTCTTAATGAGAGACATTGCTCTAGGATAATTCAAAGGTGCCTGCCATTGAGCGATGAGTTCATGCTCAACGGTCCAAGCTTGCTGGTAGCTCTCATAACATTCCAGCGGAACAAGTACAAACTGAAAGAGGTTCCGATGGGACGCCCAATACCTCAGGGATAATTCAGCATCCACAAACTCAGTTCTTTGAAGTCTTCTGTAGACTGCCATGCGGTTCAAATGCCGCTTGGCTGCACCGACGGCAGTGCTTCCCTCATACAGAAGTGAGGAGGGCTGACGGTAGCCCGGACGAAATCGACACACGTCGAAATCAACTTGAAAAATGCAATACACAGTGTTCGGCTTCTCAAACAGAGAATAGTGCAGAGTATCTGGATCCACTCCGAACTGCTGCAACTTCCGAACGAGTTTGAATCTGTGCGAATCTTCCCGGCTGGGTGCGTTGAGATAAAACAACAACACCAATGACATCAGCGTATGCACCCAAATTAGCGGAGCCTTGGGTATTCCATCGCCAAACTCCAACATGAAGGCTGCTGCTGTGCCAAGCGTGCACACTGCTGACGCAAGTCTCTTACGGACCTGAATCGGCTGGTGTTGCACCGTTTTTGCACCAATGAACGAAGACAAATTGGTGAAGGACATCTTGCTTGCATGGCTTTTCTTCAAGCCGTACTTGACGGCAAGGTCTGCCAAGCTTTGCCGATCAGTGGCTGAATCTTTCAGCACAGAGCAGACATCAGCCACATGTTTCTTAAAAGCTGCAGCTTGACCACGAAACTGGCTCTGGTGCTTCTTGAGCCATTTCTCTACGACATCAGGTGAGCTGGAACTCGGAACAGAGTTCGGCGGATTCTTGAGTGCCGCTTTCAAAATCTGCTCAGCTGAAGGTGAGGGTGAAGTGGTGGGAAGTGGGCCGGTTTTGGCCTGCGTCTTCTCCGGAGTAAGAGCAATCCCAGCTTCTTTCAGCTTCCGCTTCGCACGAGCAAGCTGTTCACTCTCAGGCGATTGCTGGCTGGAGTCCGCCGGAGGGGGCGAATTGGCTTTGATTGTTGAGACAATTTCTCCAAGCAATGGTTGCATAAATCTCGCTGACTCTTTATGCTTGTCTGGCGGAGCCGGGCCGTGCATATTTGCTGCCACGGCATCAAGATCGATGCGGTCTTGCCGGATGTGACGAAGCAAGTTTGACACAAAAACTGCTTCAGAAACCGACCTCACGAACACCAGGCTCTGAAATTCTCCGTTGGACAAACATCGGAGACTGAAGTCATCGAGACCTTTCCGCGTCAGGTCTGAAACACGAAGATCGGCCACATCTTTTCCAGCCAGTCCAGCTTTCGTAGACCAGGGCGTGGATTGGATGTTGCGAAAAAATCTCTTGCCAGAAATAGCATTCGTGTCATAGCACTCCCAGTCACTGGTAAAAGACGATGGGATGGCGACATTGGTGCTAGGAACGGAATATTGAGGAGATTTTTGCCAGTCACGGTTGTTCCAACCCGACGATCCTTTCTTTTCCCAAGACGAACTAGCCCAGGACGATTTGGCCCAATCTTGTTCACGGGTCCAAAACATGATCGGAAGAGATTCCTACGGGCTTGTGTCTCGGAGCTGAAATCGTGGTCTGCGGATAGAAAAGCCGTTGGTTCCATCGGATCTGCAAAAATCGGGGAGTGCCAGAGGGGACCCTTGCAAAAGGGTACCTTTGTCCTAGGCATACCAAGACTTGTAGGGTTGGGAGTTCAGGGTATATTGTTTAGGGTTTAGGGCTGAAGAGCGATGCTTCAGACCTTTACCAAAGTACCCCGCAGCTCATAAACAGGGCCCCCTTTTTTGATCCAGCGCATGACTGACTGATGCTGTTCTTGTCCACGGCTGCCGGGCCTCGCGGGCAGGAATGCTCACAACGTGGCAGGCAAGGCAAATGTGCACAATGTCTGGAGCAAAAACCAGTGATGCGGCTCTGAGCTTTTTGTGTGGAACGCCCCGGCAGTGCCTCCCTCGGCTGTGTGGATTCTCTGATGAGAGACCTGTGCAACGTGCTGATTGGCCTAAAGGTGCCTGGCAAAGAGAGTCCACACTCTATGGTGGCAAAATCTCACTGTCAAACTGCCATGGGCAGTCTTCGCCGGTCCTTTGTTTGTGGATTGACCAGGCATACACCAAGACATGCTTGAGGGCCTCGTTGCACTCTGCAGCAGAAGAGAACTGTACATTTAAATTTAAAGCCGGTGATGCGGCCCATTTGAGCTTCCAGCGATGATGCCATTCCCGCTCTTTCGAGATGGTGCACTCCGGAGGCAGGAGTCTCTTTGCCTCTGGCTGGCTCATGCCCTCCTGAGCAAAAACCACCGCTTTGCGGCGCTGCGTGGGAGCGTCCTCAGGTTGTGGTGGCCTGGGTACAGGAGCTTTGGTCAACGGATGTTATCTTCAGATTTGTAAACCCCCTGCAGTTCAGAAGCTCCAGCGCTGGAAATCAATTCACTATTTACAAACTTCGAAGCCCCTTCAATTAGGAAACCCCGGTGGAGGACCTGGTTGAAAGGTTACATGGGCCGACCCCATTAGGGGTCAGGTCAGGGTTCAATGCCTCAACTTGACCGAGCAACCTTGGTGGAGACTGAGAGGCCGCAGC